ATTGGCCAACTGGCAGCATCAATGAGCTCAAGTGTGGCAACAATTGTGAGGCTGGTCCAGGACCAGGCAATGTTTCGTTCTGTTGTACATAGGGTCACTATGAGTTGGTACCAACTCGATGGCACCTAACAACAACAGCAACGTATTTATTGTAGAGGATCCATGTGTCTGCCTAGAAGTCTTGAGTATCATTATTGTTACCATAAATTATTCTCACAGGGAGGCAGCAACCTGTGGAATTACTTCCAGTTTCCTTTGCTCACACATCTCTCTTGAAACCAGCATCCTTAAACACAGACATCTTTTCTATTAAATGCTTCCTACCCATCACCACCACAAAGGGCAGGTGTTCCCCTCCTTCTGCACAACCTACTCCTCTCCTCACCATCTCATACCTGCCTTTTCCTCACCACACTGTCTCAACCTGCACCCCATGCACAGCAGCCCTTCAGGAGATGCTCCGCTTTCGTTTGCATTTCCTCCTCCATGATTCCAAACACCTTATAAGACATATGTTGTTATGTATGCACAAATTCTTTGGTACTCCCTAGTAGGTAGCCTTTAGACTCCCTTCCAATGTGTACACTGTGGAAGGGGAAAACTGGCACTCTTACAGGGAGTTAGTTACTCTGTGATAACTCAGATACATCAGTTATTAGTGGAAAAAGGATGAAATTCTGCCTGAGAAAGGTGGTTTAGGGGTTAAAATATATAGTGTCAGAAAGTTATGAGTTTAGTGAAATTTGTAAGCACTGGACTGCTAATCACAAGGTAAGCAGTTCAAACCTACCAGCCACTCCTTGGAAACCCTATACAGCGTCCCTCTGAGTCAGAACTGACTTAATAGCACTTAACAATAATTACACATTTTGATACCATGTGTTTTTTCCTAGAAAAATCATTCAAATTCTGAATGAAAACATCAAATTTTTGTGTTTTTTTCCCTTAAGAAGATTTCATTTTATTTGGGAGCTTGAGGTATATAAAGAAATAACTATTTTGAGGCTAGTTTAAAATTTGTGCTTACCCCAACAAGATAGGAAAGTATCTACATCTTATGGTATTTGTTCATATTTTTTTTTCAGGATAAATATATCCAACCCAATCCCCAATTTTATGTTTTCTACTTTTGTTGTTTCCTTCGAGACCAAAAAGGAAACTTCTGTCGTCTCAAAAATGAATTTTATTCTCTCATCCTATACACTGATTTATTTAATACTTAGAATACTACTTTAGAACTTGAGAGTATGTATCTAAATCTCATCCTCTCCTTTCACTAACCCCCTGAAACTTTGAAATGGAAAAGTAAAAACTTATTTAAGTTTACACACAACTTTATAAGAAAGAATAAAAATAATCTCTCTATGGACAATATTAAGTATATGCAGATTGCTTTTCTCCAAAATGGTTACGTTATTGACATATATCCCATACATCTGCATAGAACATAGCAGAGTATACTTTAAAGATAGATTCTATAGCCATAAATACTTTCCTGACGTCTTCTTTGTTTTCCTCCACCCCTTTTCGGAGCATTTGAGTTTGTTTCCATATCATTCTTCTGAATACCATCTCAGGCAAATCCAAAACCTGCTCTTCCTCTTCTGGAGAGCCTTTGTCTCCAGCTCATTTGTCTCAATTACTCTGTTATTGGCTCTGTCTCAATGGTGGAATGCTATGGGGTATGCTTGTAGCTTGACTATATGGCCACAATTGCTACCTTTTCTTAGGTAACATAGATAGAAAAAGCTCCCACCTCCAGGAAAAATGTGTGATCAAAAGGCCCAAAAGCAGAAGCAATATAAAAGCAGAGACAAAAACCACCACTCTGAAACAAAAATAAAACTATGGTCGACTGGCCAGGCACCTTACTACACAGGCAGTTTGTGTGCACCGTAGAAGCCTCCAGCAGTGGGTGGGGGTGTCCGCTCGCTCAGGCCCCTCCTCTAGTCACCACCATAGAGGTGCGCAAAGAGATATTGAGAAGTTAATGGGAGAAAGATTGTCTACTCTCTTTGCCTCTGAAGGTCAGTTAGGTATCTGCGTGTGCACGGCGTAATTATTGAAATAGTTGTGTCTTTTTATGTAGGGATTTTACAGGTGGTTCGTGTGGTTTGTCTGTCAGGCCAAACCTGTTTTTATTTTTTCTTGCTGGATAGTCAGGAGTAAAGAATCCCAAACAAGTTAACTTTAGGGCTGGGACCCAGGCAGAAGTCAAAAGCAGCATCCAAAGCATTTGCCCTTGGACCCATGGGGCTCTTTCTCTCTGTGCCGTGGGAAAGCTGTGGTCTCAATGCTGGACTTTTTTGGGGGTGCGCACCCACCCACCTGAAGGCGTCCATGCTGGGCAAAGAAGGCGCCACAGGGAAGAAGAGGAAAAAATGTGCAGAATCCCCCCACACCTCCTTTTGCAAATGTCACTGTGCAGCTTTTAGCTCAGGTTCCCTGTGCTGGTCTGGATGTAGCCCCGCCCTCTGACCGCTGCCTGGGCAGGATGGCCGGAGAGGGAGTCCCGTGTCTTGACCAATTCCTAAATTGCAATATTTTCCTTTATACCTTGATTTTTCCACTGGCAGTTGCGGGAAACTGATGCCCTGAACTTCATGCTAGATCCAGAGCTCTGGTGCTGTTCCATGAGAGCAGCTTCTCTGGGTTTTCAGCCCCTCCCTCAGGGAGCCTGTCCTACCTGACTCTGCTCTGCCGCCGCCCAAACCGGAAGTCTATAGCCATAAATAGATTACTATTATAATTTTCAAAAAATGAGCTTCAGTTAACATAAGTGGATGGACCTAGAGAGTATAATGCTAAATGAAATTTGTCAAGTGTATAAGGATAAATATTGTATGATTGGTTTTTATAAGAAGACAAGTTTTGTTTGTTAGGTACTGTGTAGTTGGTTCTGACTCATAGCTACCCCATACAAAACAAAATACTGCCAAGTCCTAAGCCATTCTCACAATTGTTATGTCTGAGCCCATTGTTGCAACAGTGTTGTCAGTCTGTCTTATTGAGGTTCTTCCTCTTTTTCACTGACCCTCTACTTTACCAGGCATAATATTCTTCTCCAGGGGATTGGTCCCACCTGATAACATCTCCAAAGTAAGTGAGACAAAACCTTACTGTCTTCACTTTTAAGGAGCCTTCTAACTTCTTCTAAGGAGCTCTGGTAGCATAGTGGTTACGAAGCGGGCTGCTAACCTTAGGGACAGCAGTTCGAAACTACCAGCAGTTCTGTGGGAGAAAGATGAGGCTTTCTGCTCCCATAAAGATTTACAGCCTCAGAAACCCTGTAGAGGGTCTCTATGAGTCAGAAGCGACTCCAACGGCATATAACCACCACCACCAAGACAGAGTTGTTCATTCTTCTGAAGCCCATGGTATATTCCATATTATTTATGAACATAATAATCCAAATGCACCAATTCATCCTTGGTACTTCGTAAGACAACAATAGATATTAAAAGAGAGACCAGTGCCCACTAGTGATTACAAGGGAAGAGGGAAAGCACCCCTTAGACCATAATTCACAGGCCATGTAAAATGATTTATTGTTATTGTTATTGTGTGCCATGGAGTCAGTTCCGACTCATAGCGACCCTGTACAGGGTTTCTGAGGTTGTAAATCTTTATGGGAGCAGAAAGCCTCCTCTTTCTCCTGCAGAGTGACTGTTAGATTTGAACTTCTGACCTTTCAGTTGGCAGCCATGCTTGTAATTCACTACATTAACAGAGTTCCCTAGAGGTGTCTATTGTTTTAAAATGCTGTTAAATCGGTTCCTACTTATAGTGACCTGGTATAGAGTTTCCAAGGTGCAGCTGGTGAGTTTTAACTGCTTACCTTGTGGTAAGCAGTCCAGTGCTTGTCCTACAGTACCACACCAGGACTCTGATGTATTTGTAGGTACATGCAAATATAAATTTGTGGGTATAGGCACGTTAATTAATTAAAGACAAAACATACAAATACGCCAAAGACATAATCAGACAACTTCAAAGATTGGTTTTCTAGGTTTAACATCCTAGAACCATGTTCTCATGGACCACTGAGTCAATTGGCATGACATGGTTCACAGAAATCATGATCTGCATTCTAGTGGAATAGCATCTGGGGTCCTAGAAGCTTCTGAGCAGCCATCTAAGACACAACTAGGGGTCTCTACTCACCAGGACCAAAACCAGTAAGAAGGTAAGAAACAAGTTTTCAGGAACCACAAGCTCATCTCCCCTGAGACCACTGAGAGTTCTGACCAGGGTCACACAAATGGCCCCAGATACAGTGGGAGAAAAACGTGGCACAGAACTCAAATTCTTATTTTTGAAAAGCCAGACAAACTGGAACAATAAAGAATAGAGGGCTCCCTGAGAGGGACACCCTGAGACACATTTAAAAACTAGAACCAAGACTTACCCCTGATATCACCCTTTATTGAAATAGCAGAATGGCACACAAAAGAAAGGATATTACCCATAAAATTGTGATGCTGTAGGATATACACTGAACTGTTAATCACAAGGTCAGCAGTTCAATCCCACCAGCCACTCCTTGGAAACCCTATACAGAGTCGCTATGAGTCGGGACTGATGCAACGGCACTTAACAACAACCCATGAGATTGGTACTCTACTGAAAGTTATCAATGTGAGATCAAAACCAAATTTGCAAGAGAAGGTGACAGGAAAACTATAGTACTAGAAATAGAATAAACATCACAAAGAGACTGTTGACACATTGTGATAAACGAAACTGGTGTTACTGAACAGTTTGTGTGGAAATAAATGGAAACCTAATGTACAGTGTTAACTTTCACCCCAAACTCAATATTTAAAAATAAGTGAGTTTCACCTATGCGCATGGTATATGAGCAGTTTTCAAGTACTTAATGAATAAAAATAAAAATTGAGCACCAGTTGCCATTTTATATATTTCATCACATGAAGGAAAACAAAAGATGAGAGTCTCTTAAGAAGAATGGGAAATCAGTTATAAGCAGGTTGTAATATTTATAATAATTCTGCAGGTGGGAGTGGCAGGGATTCATTGAGATTTTGATCATAGTCTGGAAGACTAGAAAACTCCTGACACTGGATCTCAGTGTTGGAATCTTCCTGAGTTTTCATAAAATCCACTGGTGGTGGGGGTAAGTGAAGTGAGTCAGGGGAAGGTGGGAATGACTGTTGGAGCTCGGAATTAGGATCCTCACAGGTTTGATTGAGACAGTTCAGAGATGGCGGGTGATTGGTTGAATCTTTTGAAGGTGGAGATTCCGTTGTTATTGTGGGTTTGTCAGGTTGCTTACTCTCCTCTCCTTCCAAATCAAAAAAGGGAGGCATATCTTCATTATCTGAACAGGAAACTGCAGTGCCAATTGTTGATCCATCAGCACTATCCTCTGATGTACCATTTACTTGATCTTTTATTTTATCAGCTTTGGGGTTGCTCGAATCTTCAGTGTTTTCACTTGATTCAAACAACTTAATTTCTAAGTCATCTGCTGAAACTGTGTTTTTGCCTGGTTTCCAGGTCATAAGTGAAACAATTGACATACGTTTTACTGGTACTTCAGTTTCTTTAATGTTATCCATATATATGTCAGGGGTTTCTCCATCAGCAAATGGAGACCTCCCGGCCCAAGTTTGATCATTTGAAACTGGTTTTCTCAAGCATTTCCATAGTACAATCATGAGTATAGCTACCAGCATAGAAGCCAAAATGACACCAATTAATATAGCAGCTGTTAAATTAGAGTTGGTTTTATGTGTGGCTTCTTTGTTACTTGTGGGTTCTGGTATAAATCCTGGTGTAATCACAGGTGACTTTTTGACATTTGAAGTTGGTTTTGTGAATGGATTATGAACAGTTGGTGGGATTCGTTTTTCAGAAGAGGTGTGAGCAGATGGTGATGGCTGTTGAGCAGAGCTGTAGACAAATGGTGTTGCTGGTTGTCTGGTGGAAATTTGGGTAGATGATGGTAGTTGTCCAGCAGTGGTGAATGCAGGTAGTACTGATTGTCTGGAGGAGGTGTTAGTCATTAGTATTGGTTGTCTGGTGATATTATAGGTAGGTGGTTGGCCTGCAGAAGCAGGTGCTGCTGGTTTTCCAGAAGAGGCATGGGCAGCTGCTGTGATTTGCCATGCAGTGACATTGGTAGGTGCTGTTGGTTGTTCAGAAGAAATGTTGTTGGGTTGTGTTGGTTTACTCAAATAATTCTCTTGTATAGTTTGAGAATTAGCTAAGTCCTGTGACACTGGTGATCTAAATAAAGTGGATTGTGGCTGCTTCTCTGTTGTAATCACCTCTGTTTCTGAGAAAACTTTTTTGTTGAGGTATCCACAAAAGAAAATTAAGATGAAATATTTGCGATCCATTTCACAGTGTTTCCTCCTACAAACAGTTTTATAGTGAAAGACAAAAAAGAAAGACCATTACATATCATTTGGTGTTTAAAGTTATATTCAACTTTTCATTACAACACCTGCCATGAAGTAGGTAGGTATTTCTAAGTGTTATTCTTAACTGGAGTTCATACACTGTGCGCTAGTAGCAATAATTCTTGAATATATTCTAACTCATCATATGGCATTTGAACCTCTTGATTCTTTAATGAAATGTGTTCTTGGCCCTGCTGTCTTTTTAGCTTCATTACATTATTGTCTTTCATTCCACAGTTGTACTTCTCAAATACATAAGTTGCAAATGTGCTTGGTCACTCTCTTTCTTTCTTTTTTTTGCCCTTAGTTACTAGAAATATTTTGATCTTCTTGCCTTGAAGGACCCTGTAACCATCTGTTGCCTAATTAATTCTTTCTCTTGGCCTCTTTTGACCACATTTGACACTGTTAACTATTCCTTCACTATTATTTGAATTAAATAGTTGAGTTATTGTTAGAACTGTCAAGTCAGTTCTGACTCATAGTGACCCTGTATAGGGTTTCCAAGGAGTGGCTGGTAGGTTCGAACCACTAACCCCTACAGCGCCATACCGTCTTCCTTTCGTGATACTTGGACTTTTTTCTTTTGCCTCTTAAATATGGGTACTTGTTATTCTCTTCTCGGCCTATTCTAGTTTTCCTTTTCTTGGTTCTATAAGCATTCCCTGTGGGTTAATGTGCTGAACTGCAAGGTCTGTTTGAACTGCAAAATCAGTAATTCAGGCTTACCAGCTTCCTTCTCGGAAACCCTCTCGCTATGGGTTGTAATCAGCTCGATGGACTAACAGCAGCAGCTTAAGCATTCAGCTCTCATCTTCATGCCATTAACTCCCAAACATGTATAGCCAGCCCAAATCATCTCCTTAGTTCTAGTTTAATTTGTGTGGCTTCTTTGTGGGCATTTCCTTATATACATCTCACTAATGACAAATTCAACATGTTTGAAACTGAATATATATTCACCTTAACTGACTCCTCTCCCAACTTCATTTTTGTTAATGGTGACACCTTTATAAGTTTCTTATGCATAGGATTCATTGTGTTAGTGATCTTTGCGTCATCCTCAGTGTAAAGCAACTGTGTTAGAATCTCATATTTTTAAAAGACTCAATTCATCCCAAGTCTTAGGCTTAGATCCTAGAATGATCTTTGAATTTATCCTATCTGGTTGGTCATGTAATTTTGCTGCCTTTCATTCATTTATTGGTGAGCACCGTTTTTGTGTCAGGCTCTGTTCTAGGCTTAGAAGACTTTAAAAAATGATACTGCCTTCATGTTTTCCAGATGTTAGTGGAGATAAGTGATAATATTAATGATGATAATTTGATAAATACTTTCATAAAGGTCTGCAGGAATTGTACAGAACTAATCTAGTCTAGGGAGGCACCAGGGAAGTTTTCCTAGAGAAAGTAAAGCTTCAGCTGAACTTGAAAAGATCTGTAAGAATTCATTAAACGAACAAAATGTTCCAGCTGGAGAGAATAACTTAAGGACATAGAAAGAGCAGGCACATATGTAAGAATGGTAGATAGGGCTTTTAGGTAGATACTAAAACTTGAAAGACTTCAGTTTTACTTCTGACACTTACTACCCATATAACCAAAAGAAGGAGTCAGTTAATTTCTCCTGTTCTGAATTGCTTCATCTCTAGACTGAGGAGTTAAGATTTTTTTTTCCTCCAGTGATTTTTTAACATTAGGAAAAGAAGAATCACAAGAAATTGGATCTTGATGTGTGCATGGTAGGTGAGACATGATTAGAAACCACAGTTTGACTGTGCTTTGTAGGCCATTCTGAAAGAATTTCATATCCTGTTGTAAGGTATAAAAAGAGAAGAGGATCCCCTCTCAAGTTTTGCAAATAAATTATATTTCAGTACTTTTCATTGTTTACTCCTATACTATTTGTGGTGTACATGGTGATAATAAATGATTGTTTCAGTAGGAAAAAAATAATGTATTTTTCCTATACTGTCTCCTCCTTTTTTTCTCTCTAATCGGTCAAGTCTAAACTTTTAAAATGATTCTCCTTTGCACTTTAAAAGTCTCCCTTTACACCATTGATTAATTAAATCCAAAATGCATGTATGATCCCCTACTTGAGAGTACCCCACAGTCTTCAAAATAAAATCCTAAACTTTTTAAATGAAACTCCATCTGGCTTAAGTTTACCAGTTCAAACTCAACGACTCATGAGTGAAACTTCTCCACCCAAATTGCACTCCTTCCCTACCTTACTAACTTTGCTAAAACACATTCTTAGTTATGCTGGTTTGCACCTATCCAGAGTGTGTTCTTATTTCCCAAACCCATCTCTTACCCCTTCTGTTTATCTAAACTTGTTCTCATCTCTTAAACTCAGCTTAAATTACCTTTTATAAACCAAGTGTTGTGATGACCACACAAACAGATCAACGCTGTCTGGACTCCCCACTGCCTAGTTTTTATGGGTCTTTAGATAATTTGATATATGTACCTCACTCTGCTGTTCTCTTACATCGTTATGTTTATTTTTATTACTTTTCATTTTCTCTTTTAATGCTCTCACCCCTTCAATTAAGATTATAAAGAATCTTGAAGACACAGGAAGAATTTGGAAAGAAAATATTTATCTTGACATTCTTGTGCTGAACCATCCCAAGTGTTTTTTTTCTTTCTTTCTTTCATTTTGAAGCTTTGTTTTATTTAACACTGTAATGGAGACAAGGATATCATTTTTTCACAGATAGAGACAAATTCAAATGAGTTAAAACACTATGTCTAAGGTTATATTACTGAGTACTAGACATTTGTACCCAGGATCATCTTTTTCCAAATCAGCTTTTCCTACTAACCCATATGACCTCATGTTTTTATATTTTGCTTTTCCTACAACATAGTGCAATATGTGTGTGTGTTGTTGTTGTTGTTGTTGTTGTTAAGTGTCTTCAAGTTGATTCTGACTCATAACAACCCTGTATAGGCTTCCCTTTAAATATATGTGGGAGTAGGAAGCCACATCTTTCTCCCACAGAGTGGCATTTAACAGAACTTGGGGTTCTTGGTTCACTTTCTTTCTATTTATTAGTACTTGTACAAGAATATAAACAGAGATGGTAAAATCTAAGTCAGTAAATTCTGCTACCCTTTCATAAAAAATTTAATAGGGCAAACAGTTGAATCTTTTGACTTAGATATGAGGATTCAGATCATCTCTAGAGGATCATTATCTATTCTGTTCCCTGCCTTACTCTTATAGATTACAGAAGGGGGCAAGGAACTTCATTAGAAAACATGATTCTTCAGTTTCATTTTCATTGTTTAAAAAAAATGCTATTCAAAGCAACAGAAAATATAGGCCATGAATTGTCTTCAGTCAAAAATGTTTCCTCTTTTGCTACTTTGCTTAAAATAAAGAAACCATATGGTTCTTCTTTTCAGTTAACTGGGGGGG